GGCCCGGGGACGCTGCTCGAAGGGTTCGCTGTACACACCTCCTGACAAGGGGCAGTGCGGGCGCAGGCACCGACCTCCAGCAACCAGGAAGAGGAGCCGAGGGAACGGCGCGAGGCTGTGTCAGAGCGGGTTTAGGTTAGTGCTACGGAAAGGTCCTTCCTTCCCGCAGAGGGGTCTGGGCCCTGCACCAGCTCCCCAGGGCAGCGGGCACAGAGCTCCAGAGCCGTTTGGCCAGTGCTGTCTGGCACAGGCTGTGATCCTCGGGGATGGCCCGTGCAGGGCCAAGAGTTGGACTCGCTGATCCTCATGGGCCCCTTCCAACTCTGAATAGTTTCAGATACACAGATTTTCCTCCTTTGTTTTTTTGGCAATAAAACCACCACTTCAGCAAAGCATTCTGGATCTGAGACCACCACTTCTAGCAGAGATCGAAGGACACAGGTATTAAATCCGTTCTTAATACGTCAGTATCACTGTCCTGTGGTTTAAATATCAGGAATGTTACTAAGAGTTTGGTTTTGTATCTCTTTCATGTAGCCAAGCGCTGGGAAACAGCATAAGGCTCTGCAGCAAAGACAGTTTTCACCCACGGTCAGACAGCCCAACAGAAGGATCAAATACAAGAATTTTAAACGATGAGAAAGTACTTAAGTTAACCCCTTAAGTCTGATTTGGGCTAGTTCTGACACATAAGCAGTAAACTATATTAATGTTGCTTCCCCTTGCAGAGCCTCTAATGTAAAATTACTTAATACTTCGGTGTTGATGCTATTAAATGCAGTCACATAATCTGGTGTGGTATTAGATGACAAATGATTTGTACACTTTATACCCTTGTGTTCTGTAGTCTCCACGTAGCCTATGCATCTCTCATACACTGGAAAACAAGTATCGCAACAGAATATGTTTGTAAAGTACAAAATATGCTTTAAATATTTTTGAAGTTACCTAAAATCCAAGCAGGCTGGGGCATCACTATCGAGAGTCTGTGAAATCCAGAAAAATACCAAACCTTACTTAGTGCTGAAAGTTGCCTTAAGTGTTCAGACTATGGCTCTTTCAATCCTTTCTGACCTCAGTGGTTAAGAGAAATGCTTACAGTTTTAAGACAGGTCAGCATTCTCCAAGTTTAGCTGTGTAAATTCATTAATTAATACCAAAATGAATATTAAAATACTTTAAAATTTAAAACCATACATACACTTTTGAATTATGTTTTGAAAAACTAATCCTGAACATACAGCACAGATCTATCCAGTAGGTCTGCTTTTCAAATTCTATATCCTGCTCAGTTATTTAGGAGACACCGTTTACTCTTTTTCATCTCAGGAGTGATTATTGTGGATTCTGCTTTACTCTGTGTAAGAACTGCTGAACTTTTCATGACACTTCTCCAGTGTATCACTTCTAGTAAAATTTAGATGTAGAACTCTAAATTTAATCAGTCTTAACAGCATTAACATGACAAAGAACTGGCACCTGAGGAGATGCTTATTTGCTCACTCAATTAAAAAATACAGAGGAAAAAGGCACTTTTGTTTTGTGCATTTATCTGTACTGCACGAACTTTAAAAGGAAAAAATTCAGTGTGATATTGGTTAGTTTTTCCTTTAAGTGGAAGAGAAGATCAGATGAAAAATCTTACTTGCTGTCTCTTAATTAAGAATGACAATGTTATGTATATTTGCCTACAAGGGCAAGCAGAGAGATAATTCCAGAAACAAACACCCTGTCTGGCTGCAACATACACAAATCACACCATGACATTATTTAAAAACTTTAATAAAATAAATTCAGATACATCTCATTCTCTGCCCATAGCTACAGTGTAAATATCAAAGAAATACATATTTTTAAGAAGTTTAAGAAAAAAAAAGAGCCACAGAAGTTGGTGTTGAATATGTAACTCAAGATCCAGTCTAAATTTGTCAAAATTAAGCAAATCAGTCTTACCGTTCACCACTTAACATAACCACTGCCAATTCTTAGACACTGCTAAAATATTTACAATAAATAAATAACTTATTGTTTAATTAATTAAATGCTTTACTCACCTGAATCAGGTGAGTAAAATCAAGAGTACCAATGCAAATCATGTATAAAATCATTCTCTCTACAAAAGGAATTGCAGAGGAGGAAAACATATAGCAGCCTGTTGCACACCATACCTCAGAAACAGCACACACATATCTACAGACTACAGTACAACCCGCAGCAGCTGTTCTGCTCGGGAGCTGGGGATGGTCCCTGTGCTTCCCACGTACACGCAGCAGCATGCAGACCTGTTTGTAACCATGGCTTATGGCAGGGAAAGCCCTCTTTACACCAGCTGGTACTGACAAGTGCACAACACCCCCAGCCTGCAGGAAACCCAATTAAGAGCACTCAGCTCCACAGAACAAGTACAGGAAAGCCCTGTAAGATCAGGCCCTGCTACCTGCCCTCAGATCTTTTCTAGCACTTGCCACTGTAAACGCTCCCCCTGCTTTTACCTGTGTAGATACAGCATTCTTTAGAATCGAACGTATGACAAGAAACTGGTTTCCAAATTGCAAGATTTCCAATACTGCTAAATGTATCTCGTCATTTTTTACTGCCATGGTTGAAGAGACTTTCACAGGTACCACTCTGAAGACATATGCATTGTTCCCGCATACAGAAAACTTGTACAGAAAAAGAAGGAAAAGATGCTTAAATCATGATTTGCTGAGTTCAGCTTCTACAGACCTGACAAGTATCTGAATACCAGAATCATCATGTGATGTTCAAATCAGTTTATCCCATTTAATTCTTAAAAAGCAACAGATGCCTAACTAGTAGGTTAAAAAGCAACATTACCAGCAGTGTGTAACTCCTGGAATGGTGATAAAGCTAAATAACTGCTTGGACCCCATGTAAAACGTGGGTGTCATTTTCAAACTGTAATTCTTAACATTCACTTCACGAAGCCTAGAAGACCAAGTGCAAAGTAAGTGGTCAGAACTAGCTAATGTTTATTTTCATCTGTCACTTTGTGCAAGTCCAGGAAATTAACTGCATTTTGGCAAATAAGGATGTCAGATAACACCAGGTCTATGATAACAGATAGGTCTTTTTAAACTTTAAGTAATTTGCTCATCAATATAATCTGAGGGCTGATCGTGTAATTTTACAGAAAAGTCTTCTAAAGAAAAGCATCAGTTGAGGTGCAAGAATTGTTTCATAAGTTCATATGTGGTAAAAGCCACAGCCTGGGAAGGTATGCAACGAATGTAATTCAGAGATAAACCACGGTACAATCCTCTTCTTACGCCGTGCTGTCGATACACATACTTCAGTGTCTGCACCATCGTACTGGAAAAATGAGAACTCAAATCATTATTGCACACACATATTCAATCGTCAAAATCACTTTCTTTAAACACAAGACACTATTTTAACTCTGGGCACAAGGGCTGGGAATTGCAAAGAGGACAGTGCTTTCTCAGCCAACCACAGTTCAGTCTGAAAACACTTGTCCTAAAAGACACATTCAGACATTTTACACGAGGATGGGCACACGTACTCTGTGGCCTAACTGGCTGGAAGGAGTTGAGAAGCATCAATTCTTTTCACAAATGTAATAGTAACAGAAACATCCTGTGCCTAAAGGAGCACCCACTTCTTGAATTGAACATCAGCTTTAAGTTTGTATCATACTCTCTTTCTCAGAACACTCAGTCAAACCACCCTAGAGCTCTGCACATTGGATTCAGACTCAGCTCTGTATTCTACATCCTGCATGTGTGTAGCTTCTGTCACATGACAAAGACCTACTATTTTCTCTCTCAAAAAAAGTTAGAATTTGTTTCAGTATGCAATATTTGACCTTATTAAAAGCAGATGTTGTAGTGTATAATCAAAGAGAAAATCTCCTCACATAGCTGTATTAAAACTGAGCAAATAGATGTTAAGTGCTAAGCACTGTGAAATGATACACAGTCACGACAATATTGTCCAACTGAGAAACCTCAGGTTTGCAAAAGCAATTCTCACAAATGCAAAAAGTAAAACCCCAAGAAGAATGAAGATAATTTTATTTTAGAAGTATCAGGAGTAGAAAATAGTCAAGGAAAAAGAAAAGTAAAGGCTGCTAAGGAAAACATAACAGCAACATTCAGAACTAAGCAACACTGAGGTTGTTTGTGAAAGGTCACTCAGGCTACTGTCAGTAAGATCCAACTGCACACAGGAGGTTCACACTGAATCACAGTGAATTCAGATATGCACAATCCCACAAGACTGAAACTAACTGAAAGAAAACTGTCCTGGAATTGAATTGGGTTGAGGCAATACAGAATTCAGGAAGTGTTTCGAGTTGAGAGCTGGTCTAATACTGTGATGATTTTAAGGTTATTAAAGTACTTCCATTTCTACTGGAGGAACCTCAACTGTGTGTGGGACATTGCCAGAAGTGCAAAAGGGGTCAAATAAAATGTATTATGCAAATCATCCTATGGAATAGATTCTGCACCATGAAAACACAGTTTGAAACATTTCATTTCAGCAGAGCCATGCAGTCTCTCCCTTGGGGATCTTGCTGATATTAAAGATGTTACAAGTTGCATTAAACCACAAGCCAATGTTACTGATAGAAAGGCAGCATTACTAACGAAGGTGCCATAGTGATCTCAGATGTTTTAACCCCAGACTGACACTGGCAGCCTTTTGTCTGTGTGGAAACTTGCACATTGACATCAACAACACTAGTTCAGAGGTGGGTTTTTTCTTCAGTTTTCTTATTTTTAAGCTTTAAAATTAAGAATTTAACTTTGTTCAGGCATCCAAGAATTCAGTTAACTACAGACAAAATGAAAATACTTACAGGCACTTTTCAGAGTCTGGGAGAACTGCTCCTAACTGCATTCGCCTACGAGTTACATCGAGGGGATATCTGCAGGGAAGAGATTCAACAGCAGTTCAACCACCTGTGTGACAGCTGCAGGAGCACTGTTTAAACACGAGTACAGAGAAGTCCACATGCAATCTCTCACAAGTTCCCCTTTCAGTGAGTCAGGAATCCAGCTCAGATTCTCAACACAGCTGAAAGTTCTCCAAAAAGGGAGACTTCCCCTCACAACCAAAACCAGCAAACCAGAGCCCTTACTAAATTCCACTTGGCTCTAAGTAAGGAAGATGGATGAAGATCAGATGAGAGTATAAAAGAACGTAAAATGCTGGAGGGAGAAGACACCTGCATTAAAAATAAAATTTGCAGTTTATGGATTAATAGAAAATTATATTTGCAATGCACTGATTTAGTGAAAAAAATGACGCCACAAGTCCATTACATTAGTTTGTTTTATGGACAAAATAAAATACAACAAGGATAGCATAAGAAAGGAGAACGGAAACAAAGTAAAAAAATAAAGAGCCAAATACAATACTTTTACTTGGGTTTTTTTCTTTCTATCCTTTTTTTTTTTTCCTGTGGCTTCACAGGTTACATAGATTTTAAAGTAAATGGGAATAATAGAACTCTGCAAATTATGTTCAGGGTCAAAATTTCTGATCTTACCAAACAAACTAATGAACAAGATTTTTACCAAACATGATTGCAACAGATTTTAGGAAATTTGCCTGAATTTCAGTGTCTGGATAACTAGATTTAAATCCTTACTAATAACTAGACTTAGATAAAATTGTATTCTCAGACAAGAGTTTCTTTAGAATGAACAGCTGTATAGAGGAAAACAACCCAGTACCCAAACTTACGATATCGTCTGAGCTATTGCTCCAGCTATGCCACCACACAGCAGATTTACATGTGTTTTCAAAACTAAGACATCAGGGTTATCTAATGAAGGCCGTCCAAGCAAGTTAGGTGCTTGAGCAAGTCCAATGCTCTTTAAGGTACCAAAGGTAAAAAATGAAAAACCTAAAAGGAAATTTAATTTTATGTACTTTCACAAAAAAGCAAACTATTTGTCGATGCATCATCATCATCAAACAAAAAGCTGCACTTACAAAATGAAACTATTTTCCTATTCTTACAGAAGTATTTTCTTAATCAGAAAGAAATAGACAAACAATATCTGGAACTTCTACAGTAACTCCTGTCCAAATGAATTTGTGTTTGCACACTAGGCTAAAAGAAATCTCTAAGTAAGCTAGACTGCGAGTTTTGAATTAATTAATAATCTTAAGATCTTTTGAACTGCAGAACATCTCTCATCCTTTAAATACGAGTGTTTAGCTGGGCAGTTCTGCTCCTCCATCCCGCGTCACCTGTCGCTTTAGCTTGTGTGACCATTCCCATAGAAGTCACCAGGAGCTGGAGCCACTCGAGGCTCTCAGGCTCTGTTTACAGAGCGCTCCACTCATGGAAAGAGCCTTCAGGCTTTCCTGTGGGAAAACTGGGAAGCAGAAGAGAACCATTAATTCACCTCTCTGCCTCTCAACTCTGAATCTCAGAAAAGCTAAGCTCTGACTACTGAAGATACTTTTTAATGAACATCATTGAAAATTATTCAAACAGAGCTAATTAGCTATTTGTGCAAATACGTTATGTAAATGTAGTAGTGCACATAGCTGCTGAAGGACTGTCATGTTCTGGTTTTCACTTACCTGCATACGGAGCCATTCCTACAACAGTTGGCATCAGCCCTCTGTAGAACCCACTAAAACCACCTTCCTTTGGAAAAAAAAAAAGAAGAAACATCTGTGGTGAGAAATACAACAACTGTCTCAACAAGTTACACGACAGCAATCTGACTAACACCAGCTACCACCAAGCAGTTCTGTTTCTTATGCCTCAGGAACTGAGGGGACAACTGCCTGGCTCTAGAGGAGGTAAGTCAGTCAAAATGAGGGAGAAAAATCTACATCCAAAATCATAACTGGAGACATTTATGCATTGCACATAGCCCTCCTCCCCAAATTGTTTAGGTATCGTTACTAGTCGTTCTTGAAAAAGCAAAGTCTCCCTGCTGTTTCTGCCCTCCCACTCGTAGCTACAGCCTAAGGAAGCATCCAGGTAACTTTCTGCATTAACAGATTCAAAGTACACACAATGAAGCCATGCTATTTTTGATAAGCCACTATTTTCAATGCAGTGCAACATTCTTTAAAGAGTGTATTTTGCTTTGACAGGACCGAAGATGAAAAGAAAAAATACCTTTGTGTAAATCATCTTGAATGCATGGATAATTCCCATGTACTTGTGTTCCCCCTTTACTTGGAACGCCAGGCGAACTCTAACCATATCAAGAGGGTAAGTACAAATCACTGCTGTAATACCTTTATTAAAAACAAAAACAAAACAAGCAAACAAAACTCACCTACACCTTATCTGAGTCTAGGATCATTTTAAAAATCAGAATTTCCTTTTGTGGCAGTGAATATAATAGCATATACAAAATATTTTGTTAAAGAAACAGAGTCACTTATCAGCAAACAGGAACACTAACTTCAGCAACACACGGAGGATTTATGTTTGTACTTGGTGTTCACTGAAGCAACACACCTAGGTCTGGATATTCCCAAGATTTATGGGCCTGACTCTAGGCACCTGAGCAGTCTTGTTGAAGCCCATGGCTCCTAAGGCTGGTCAAGTACATCAGCATTACTGACTGCAACCATGAAACCTAATCCTACCATACTGAACACAAAGATTCAAACCACCACATGTACCTGTTTAATTCCAACAAGGTTGTGGCAGAATTTGATGTGATTACTGGCCGTAGATACATATATCTATCTCCTGCATCTGAAAATGCTAAATATATCCTAATGACATACTAAATATATTCTAATAGCATTTAAAATAGAGTCAGGGTTGTACTGATGAGGAGCACCAAATTGCATTGCACTACTGCATTTTAATAGTTCATGTTACACCAGCACTTCTGTTTTAAATCTCTGACCAGAAAAGCTATTTCTGGATTTAAGATGCCAAAAAATCAAATCTTAGGATTCATCCAGTTATGAACTGCTTCAAAAGTGCTTAGATGCTGACCAGCTTGTAACTTAGGAAACGTAACTCCAGTACAGAAAACAACAATTCTGACTAACAAATTCTTTCAAACTGCTAGTTTTCAAGGTAAACCACCCAATGGCTGACAAATTCTTTGGAAGGAATAGTTAAACCGTTGACTAAAAACAGAAGTCACTTTCTGATGGTATACCACAGTCACCAAAAAAAAAATATGGGAAAAAGAGAACAAGAAAGCAAAAACCATTGCAATTAATATTGTTTTCAAGAAACTGCTTTGATTTAGCTAAGAGTAACCCTAACAAATTGTCCAGAAGATACTTTTTATGCAGGCAGGAAATTGTCGCTTCCTCATAAGTTTTAATAGTCACTTAATGATATCTCTTTCTAGGTGCATCATTTCCCCTAGAGAAAACCGTAACAGGGTGAAGAAATAAAACCAAATACAACACAACTCTTGCAAACCAGTGCTTCGTAACTTTTATGTCTGGAGGGAAAAACCACCAAAAAAACCCAAAAAACACAACTCTGGTAAGTTGAATGATCTGACAAAAGATATCAGGATTAGATGGGAAGAAAAAAAAAAACCAAACACCCTAAGTGAGTTATCCAAAAATATGACACTGCTCAACTGCCAGTTGAGAGCAGTTTGTGGCTTTCTGGAGTATCCCACCAGTAATTTATTTTATAAGACACAAATATCTCTTTTGGACAGTTCCTCTGAACAAAAAGCAGACACCTGCAGTTGATTTCTGATGTCTCAGCCACAGAGTTCAAAAGCTGGAAGCTGCAAAACACTAAAGCAACTTTAGGACTGACCTGCAGTAAATGCAATCTCTCAGTCTGCAGCCTTTTCCTAAGGGATTGCCTGAGATGTCCAGAAATATCATAAAACAGGTGAATTCAAAGAGTTTAAATAAAATGAAAAAGGGGGGGGAAGCACTTTTAAAGAGCTTAGAGTTCACAGGGAAGTAATCCCACCTTAAAAACCAGACAACTCCATCCCCTTTCTCTTTCCAGTCATGTACTGATATCTACCCAGGAACTCCTGAACAAAGACTAGTGAACAGACCAACCAAGAGACTGGTGAATGCACTACTGAATTAACACAGTCTAAAACCAGTCCAATTCAAAAATAACAGGTGAAACTGCAAGAAACCATTTGAAGAAAGATTTAAATAGAAACCTTTTCTTCCCCTTACCTTTTTCTTAAAATCCTCTAGCCATGAATTCTGGAAAAGGGATTTCTAACATCAGCCACAATATATGCTTTCTTGGAGCAACTGGACGAGCCATGTTACTGCTTACTGTTCATATAAGCAAAATGTACATCATCCCAGGGAATCAAGATTTCCTTTGGGGCTCAGGAGAGACACTATCCTTTCTGGGAGAAATGCAGACAGCTTTGGCATACAGTCATTGTGGTGAAGTCTACAAAATTACTAGTCTCATCTCTGTTCCCTATGTTCTATGAGTTAGGAGAAATCAGACCACAGCATCTTAAGGCTGATTCCCTGTCTTGAAAGAGCAGAGTCTATTCCAATTAATGACAGTTGAGCTCAGTCTTTCTCATGGCTGGTTAAACAGGACAGAATTGGAAGTACCTCAACAGTGAAGAGATACACACTGCAATTCAGTGTCTGATCTCAAACAATCATAATAGGGGAAAGTAGATCCTCCCTCCTTCAAAGAACCACTTCTCAAAAACCAGCCAACTTTCTCCCTGTAAATGCTGACTCAGAAGCCAAGGAAGTCAGGGAAAGATTGTTCCTCGCTTCCCATGTTGTCCTCAAGCATCCATGACCACTCTTGGGGGCAAGATACTGGGTTACACAGACTAAAGATTTAGCAACAGTGAAGCACAACAGGAATTAAGACTGTCCTTGATTTGCTTCCCAGGCTTTGGGAATTAACAATGAGATTAGCTCTGTAGGGATTTATCTCTGTCTCCCAGTTTCCCTACTATTCCTCTTTTATTAGTAATTTTCTTTCTTTGAAAGTAAAAATAAAAGAACAATCTGGAGCAAGGAAAAACAGAAGTGAAATACATTTACAGGGATCAGGCACTGCAAGCATATCTGGTATGCAAGTTTTCATGATCTGTGTCAGGCTCTTTGGACTTCACTAGTATCTCCAGAGGACAAATTAAGCACTGCCAGGTGATGCAGAGGTATACAGCTCAAAAGTGATAAGCACAAGTCACAGCCTTGAACTGCAGAAGACATGCTCCTTAAGCTAGTATAAAGATATATTTATCCAGGAAGCATCATCTGAACAGAGCAAAGCTGCAGGAAGTACACATGCAGAGCAATAGCTGATGACATAGAATATTCAGGAGACAGGCTAAAAGAAGTTCTAATTTACCAGTCCTCACATTTTTATAACTCCATGTAGTGGTTTTGCATGGCCAGGTTTTGGCAGTGGTGGGGGCTACAGGGGCAGCCTCTGTGAGAAGCTGCTAGAAGATTCCCCATGTCCAGCAGAGCCAATGCCATTTGGCTCCAAGACAGACCCATCGCTGAGGCATGGCCTAGCCATCAGTGGTGGTAGCAGAAATGCCTCTGTGATAAGATTTAAGAAAGGAAAAGAAGTTACTGTGCAGAAGTAATTGCAGCCAAAGAAGAGAGGAATGAGAATATGTGAGAGGAACAACTCTGCAGGCACCAAGGTCAGTGGAGAAGGAGGGAGGAGGACGAGGTGCTCCAGGTGCCAGAGCTGAGGAACCCCTGCAGCCAGTGATGCAGACCATGGTGAAGCAGAGATCCACCTGTATCCCATGGAGGAGCCCCACGCTGGCACAGGTGGATGCCCCAAAGGAGGCTGTGAGCCCATGGGGAGCCCTGGCTGGAAGGTAAGTCCTGGCAGGGACCTGTGGACCCATGGAGAGAGGAGAGCCACACTGGAGCAGAATTCCTGGTACGACTCGTGATCCTGTGGGGGACCTGCACTGGAGCAGGCTGTCCCCGAGGGGCTGGACTGCACCCTGTGGAGAGTGACCCACACTGCATCGTGCGAGGATTCATGTTGGAGGAGCTCCTAGAGAGCTTTCTCCCGTGGGAAGGACCTCACGCTGGAGCAGGGGAAGGACTCCTGTCCCTGAGAGCACTGGCAGAAACGTATGATGAACTGAGCACAGCCTCCACTCCCTGCCCCCCTGTGCTGCTGGCCGGGAGGAGGCAGAGTTGGGAAGGAGGAAGGGGTAGAGGAATGTGTTTTTATCGTCTGTTTTATTTTCTCATTATCCTGCTCTGATCTTAATTTCTCCAAGTTGAATCTGTTTTGCCCATGATGGAATTCAGTGAGTGATCTCTCCTGGTCCTTACCTCAACCCACGAACTTTTCGTTATCTTTTCGCTCCCCTGTCCATGCTGCGAGGGGAGTGAGAGAGCAGCTTGGATGGGTGCCTGACACACAGCCCCGGTCAGCCTACCACACTCCAGTATATAATTCTGTTTCTCTCTGGACAGCACCTCAAAAAATAGGCCACACAGACTCCTTGAAAACCTTGACTCAAACAGGTGACTCTTCATTCCATACTATTTAAAATGGAGACAGACAATATCCTCCTAGATTAGTTCTACTGTCCACTTTTAGTAAAAGTAAAAAGCTAAAAACAAAAACATACTATTTGCATTAGTTTAATGGAACTTGAGTTTACGTTAGATAACAAAGCCGAAAAAGACTAGATGTTATTTTGAAGTTAATCAAGTGTAGGGGAGGAAATACACATTTTTGTGTTTTAACTCAGATTTTTCAACTAGAAAAAAAACCAAATTTAGATTTGTAAATGATCCTTTTATTTGATGTTACTGGTTCATTTTTGCTGTTATTTGATCATTATGTTTCCTATATCCCACCTCCATGATTTCTCTATGTTCTCCCCAGCTCTGTCTCGCCTTAAAAGAAGTTATATACCATTTATCTGTTAATGAGGTGTTACAGCTGAAATCTGAATCACACAAGACTCAGGAAATTCAGAATTAAAGTTTCCACTTTAACTTGGCCTCCTTAAATACATGCATTACAATAGACCTTTCTTTTCTCTCCCTGCACTACCCCCGTTCTTCTTTGCCTTGTTTTTCCTACGGTTATGCTTTTGATCCTGTTTATCAGCTACAGAAGATACTCAAATGCTTCCCAGCACTTTGAAACTGATTCGGGTCTGTTGATGTCATGTTTGAATCACTGACAAGAGCATGATTTAAGTATCAGTCTGGACAGAGAAAAGAAAGCAGACAGCTGCTGGGCTCGGTGGTGTAGAGAGGACAAAAAGGAAAAAGAAACACAGCTTATCTATTCTCAACTGCATAATACTGTCTTCCACGGAACTGCACCCACTGCACCAACACCAGGGCACACGCAGCCTCCTTTAGTCATTCAAACTTGGAAGAAACAAAAAGATATCCTTGATTAGAGCCGGCAAGGAACTAAGATGTAGGAGTTAAAGCAAGAAACATTACCACTTTCTGTTAGAAGTCCTTTCTTAATTTGTAGGCAAACCTAGAAAACTTCTGTACCAGATTTCAAACTCTCTGCTCCTCCTAGTGTCTCCTTCCTCCTCTCCAGCTTCTTGGCATACTCAAGATAAACCCTCCCTTCTTATTACCTAAAGAATATCCTGAGAAGCAGTTAATGCCACCCAGTAAACAAATAGTAAGACACTTACACGTGACACTATATATACACCTGACTGCAATACTCATTTCCTTGCACCCCTAAATCGAGTCATCCGCTCAGTTTTGGGGTTCTCAAAAGCAGACTATTAGGTATATTGTGTTTAAATGCATCTCACAACACATTTCATTTGATCATGGTTGCCAGATAGTACTGTATATTAATTTACTTCTGTTAGTCTAACTACACAAACCAGCTTTAACCAGTAAGGTGCTTAAACAATGCCAGATGCTATTAATTTATCTACACCAAGAGTTCCAGCATGCCCAACATAGACAGAGTTAAGCTGATTACTCAGTGTTTTCACAGTGCCTCATAAGTCAGGTTCCCAGTCTCTGACAAGGCTCCTGAAAAAAGCTAAAAATAAGCTGGGGGACACACACACACACAAAAAAAAACCCCCCGAGAAGTAAATTGCAAGGTGTTCTTTAACACAGTAAAACCTAGAGGGGACAAAAAAAGAAAAAACAAACACCAAAAAACACCAACACCTATAAAACCCATGGTTTTTTCCACTTCTTTCAGGTGAAAGCCAGCCAAGTTCTGGAACATATCTTGCCAAATGGGTTTTGCTAGTTTTTTTAGTACTCTTTGAATTGTTTATTTCATTTACTTTCCTTTCCCTCTGACACCACACGAAGCCTGAATACTTTCACCAGGCTTCTAACTAAGGGCACTATTAACAAACCCCAATATTTTGCTTCCAAAAGAAGTTAAACATGAATACGCAGAACTATTTAAGAGCTGTCACTAGACAGTACTAAGCCTGTTTTACACAGTAAAAGCACATGAAGACCCACTTTGATTAAAAATCAGTCTGCTACTGATTTTTCCCTGATTTTCTGCTACCTTTCCCTATTTTTTCTTAGCTACTTTTGGCTGAATGACTAGTAAGAGGAAACCAGAGAAAATCATACTATCCACTGGCAGTTTACAGATGGGCTTTTCTGCACTCATTGATAAATGAGATTTGCTAATATTCACACATATGATCTAAAGAGCACCAGGACAATCCTGCACTGGACATTGACAAATACAGACGTTTCTGGCAAGCCCAAAGAGCTCTGCCATTCAAGGAGCTGCAGTTCCCTCTCTTTCTGTGGGCTTATATTCGACCTAGAAGCAATGTCAGACAGGCTGACAGTCAATTCTACTAAAACCTGCATTTTTATACTTCATCTTGATGACACTGGGGTTTTAATTTTTTAAAAGCCATAATAAACTCTATAAACTCTACTGTGATTTACAGCACAGAATTCACTGCTTGCACCAATATGTTTTAACTGATACTCCTAGACAAACACATTTCAGTTAGGCAGCTATGTTACATTAACCATTTACTAGTACCTTTGCTAAATACAATTTGCAACAGTCTGACCCAACAACACGTCAAATCATCCTCTAAACAAATATTAACTTTTCTGCACAAGGCATATCTGAAACCCAAGTACAAACCCATACCTGCCATGGATCCAGCCATCAATCGATGTACATGCCCCGAAATCCCAAGTTGTTTCTTTATTACCTATAAAATACAGAACATTTACAACGCTCATATAGCAGGAAACACAGGGAAACGCATCACAAAGTTTATTAGCACGTTGATACAAGCTCTGTAGCAGTTTCCAATCAGTTTACAACGCTAGAAATTCAATCCAGTGCACAATTAGTGCTAAAAGAACTTACTGCTATTTCCAGTTTTTTCTTAAAAACATCAAAGTGCTAAGATTCTACTGACAAGGCAAAACAGCAAGTTGAAAGTGTTTATACCGTTTGCTTCAGAAACTAGATTAATTGCTCATTTAGTTATCATTAATGTGTGTCAAACAAAGCAAACTTACTACTACCCTTGCAGAGAGCAAAGGACATTAAGCAAAGTTGAAAAGTAAGTAGAGTCAACTCTTCTTCCATGCACACCATGTGAAACACACTCCTATAGTGATTTTAAACTGGATTATTCACAACAATACAAAGGTACAAAAGGTACAAAAATCAGTGGGAATTTTTTACAAGTTAACTGTTGCCCTGACATTTTTAATGGGTAGATTCAAATACATTTTAGTAACCTTAGAAAGTACATGTAGCTAATTAATAAGACAAAAATTTCAGTGTCAATTTCAATCACCCAGTGATTCTGTATTCATTGTAGGCTGAAAAAAAAAAGAAAATGAATTAATCTACCTTTTTGTATTGGTCAAATGCCATAAACTGAATAGCGCCGTACGGAAAGATTCTAATCATCATTGCCCCATTTCCTTTATACAGCCCAAGGTAACCTTCCTTTTTGGGGACAGCACACAATGTAGAAAACACTCCTGCCAGCAATGCAAAAAGAGGTGTTTAACACTTGTGGGAAGGAAAAAAAATTTCGATTAAATCAAAAAAAATAAGCAAGTATTAACACTTGTGGGAAGGAAAAAAAATTTCAATTAAATCAAAAAAAATAAGCAAGTGCACATATGAAGCTAAGGCAGCATAATGCTACTCATGTAACTCTCACTGCCCAAACACTGCCAGAAGGAAGAGGTTTAAGGTCAACTTTTATCAGCTTTCTCCCATCCCAGACCCCATGAACCTCTCTCTGACTTCATGCACCCAGGCCCCAGAGCTTGCCTGGACTGCAGGCAACCCTCCTGCCCGTGCCACTGCCCACCCACAGCAGCTGAGGCCAGCAGGACTAGGGAGCAAACTGGCTGAGCTGCAATTCAGTTCACACGGAATAAATAAATAAATTAAAGCCTAAACCCAAGGGGAAACAATCTGATATTGCTACAGAAAGGAAGTAAACAAATTGAAGCCTCTCATTACCTATAACTTCAACATCTCACACTTCCTGTCCCAGAGGTCTTGCAGCAAGAAGCAATCCTATTCCATTTTAACAGGTGGGAAACAATGCAAGATCACAGAAAGTCTGGGCAAAACCTACAGTTGTACTACAAGCATTAGTTATGCACAACTGCGAACAAACTGACTTTCTAATTTTTATTTTTTTAAAGGAATAAAGTGTGACAGTCAAACAGTTTTCATTCGTATGCAACTACTAAACAATGTAAGAGCTGAACATGAAAAAGGCTTACCCATTTATCTTGCCTTCAGGCAGAAAAAATTACTAGCTACAAACTTTTATTGGAAGTTTAAATAAAATAAGCATTAATTAGCTTCTGGGGTTTTAAGGAGGTTAACATATTGTATCTTGTTAATCTATTATTGTATATTCATATATCATTACGCATGATTTTATAGTAATGTATTATTAAGACATCGTGCTCTGAACTTACTTGTACCATGATTAGAATTTCTCCCTACCCTGCAATGATGAGTTACTGTTCTTATTTCTTAGGACACATGCTCCAAGGTCCATGTGGCACAAACTCCACAGAGCAAGGGCACAAAAACCTGCACCGAGGACTCGGATGAACCGATCCATCGTGTCTGTGCACTTACAGATACCTCACCCACATCATTCTCTTTTTTCCTTACACGCAACGTGGACATGTATTCAGGTCAGACACATGTCAAATAATCAGTATCTGACAGCCTAAAAAGGTAAGAATATAAGATTTTACTTGCCAGTTATATGGTACAGTACGAAGCAAATGGAAAATGAGGATTTAAAATCACAGCCAAACTTATTATTTCACCCTTCGGTTCTTACGCTGCAGATTTGAGTGCACACTTACGGGTCTGTGTTACTAAAACACCACATTACTTGCATTTCCCTTTTTGTCACAGTGAAAGGAATATATATCCACCGAATTTTGTTTCAAGATTTATCTCTCCAGATTTAAAAAAAAATATATCTTTAGTGTCTAAGTTAAAAATTCCAAAGTGTGATTACACACAAAATTAGCCAACGCAAAATATTTTTTTCCTTGACAACTCTAGCACTGAAATTCTGGAGCAAAAGTTATGATACATTTCAATAACATATGACATAAATACCTCAGATACTCTGCACAACAGGGCACTGTTACAGCCTACGGGGAACGGGTGAGTTGGTTCTCTCACCATGATGCAACACAGATCACCTGCACCTTACTCCAGGCATAAACCTGCTGCTACCTGCAACTCCCATCAGCCACACCACCGTCTGCGGGCCAAACTGCACGCGAGCCTCAATTCCCAGCCCCGCTGGAAAGCAGGGATCCTCACAGCCCCTGGGAACTGCAGCCTGGCAATTCCCAGCCCCGCTGGAAAGCAGGGATCCTCACAGCCCCTGGGAACTGGCAACCACTGCAGCAATTAAGAGTCTCCAGAGAATGATCCAAGCTTTGAACCTGTGATTACTAATCTCCCGCTGGCTTCTGTAAGGGGAAAATCAAGTCCAGCTTTCACATGCTTTATTGAGGATTATTCTGACATCTCAATCTCTAACACATCGACTAATACCACAATTTACACAAGGCTTTGTTCTTCTTTTTAAACACTAACAAAACATGGCACAGAGCCTGACCAGACAGATATAACCTTATGTCTGATTAGCACCTTTCTTTTAATCAGCCTCATCACTGAACAAATCAACATTACCCAAGCCCCACACATTGCATTTACAACCAAAACCGAGCTGGCAGCAGCCACCTTACCTAGGTGCTGGTAATGGTGGTTGTGAGCCTGCAGCAAAATCTTTACTCGATCCAGCGGCGCAGTAGTTGTTTTGGCACAACATCCTGCAACACCTTTCCAAGACGGGAAACAGAAAATTGACAGGATGTAAAAGTTCTTTAGGTCAGCAGTCAAGTAAGGGATTTTTCTGATGTGTTTAACTCAGGAACAGGAAAAAGCCCCAATGACAAGTTAACAGTTTCTATTAGATATGTTGCAAAGCTCTTAGCTTTGCAAAGCAAACCTTCAGGAAAGTTACTCCAGAGTTTTCCACCCTATTTCATCCTCCTCTTCCGCGTAAAGCAGCCCTCGCTGCTCTCCCTAGAGGAGAGGGCTGCGTGTCTGCCGTGTGCCCCGCACTACTTCAGAAAGCTTTACATAAACACGACCTCCTCCTACCCGCCGGCAACCCAGACCGCTGGAACAACATCCTGCACGAAGAATAAATACACTTTTTCTCT